TATATAGAACATTTCTATTGGTAATATAAATCATAAAATGTAAAACTTGGGTATTCGATTGAATATATAATTTCACAGCTCAAAAGTATTTTATTTAAACATTTCCCTTTAGTTTATAACACGTTTTTTGACTGATTATGCAAAAAGCAAACAGTTAAACAATTTTAAGAGAAAAATTTACAAAATAATTATTAACAATTATGATAAATTATAAATGATTAATTACAAATGATTAATTATAAATGATTAATTATATGATATTAATTGTGAATAATTTTGTGCGCTGTGGATTATAACTTACTTTTTACACTTTATGTAATTAAATTGTTTTGTTTACTGATTTCGTTGTATTATTAACTAAATTTATAAGAGATGATGATCATTTTATATTTTATTTTGTGTAAAAATAGAAGATATTTTGAATGCTAATTTAAAGCTCATTTTGTATGCATTAAATTTTTACGTTTGAATTTTAGAAATTTAATAGGTTTAGCTATAGATGGTTATAGTTATTTTCCCTTTTGTTTGAACGGTGAAAGTTAGCAAATATATTTAAGAAAATAAAATCTATTCTCATTGATTATATTGCCAAATTTACATGTTGCTTGCTAGCATATAAAATGCTTTTTCATTTTTTTTATCAAGTAAGTAAATTATGATAGATTTTTACATATATTTTTATTAACTTGTAATTCTACTAGATCATTTTTAAATTAACTAATAATATTTAGAGGGGGTTCTAGAAATACGGAAGGAAGCCTTACCCTCGGGCTATCGCAGGCTTTATAAATTGAGCAGTAGCAATTGAGATAGCAATTAAGCAGTTCTATTCATTGCAAATTTTTTTAGCTATAGAAAAAATTTGAAATAAGTAAAATTGTAAAGGAGTGAAACCCGAACTGCAAAATTATTTTGCATAAACTAATTCCTATTAGTATGACTTCAGAAATCTTTAAAGAAAAAATCAGAAATCTTTTAAAACTTAAATTAGAAATTATTTAAATTTTCAGACATGTTAATTTATTTTGCAGAATTTTTCCATTTTCCTAATTACTCTACAGCACGCATTATTAAATAGTAGATAAATTTCGAACGAATATAGTAAAATGCTTGATTTCAAATTCATTTTTCAATTTAAATATTCCACTCTTATCGCTGTAGCAATTTAAAAGTCACTTTTGATACTATTGAGGTAAGTCCTTGAGTTCCAAATCGGGATACCGGGGAAAGTTAAGATAATAAGAGATTCAAGGTAATTTCTTTCTTATACTTTATTAAAGAAATTTTTTTCAGTTGAGTGAACATCGTTTTTTTTCTTTGCTTTTGCAGGATCCATGTTTGAAACATCTGCATTAAATCACATTTAAAACAACGAATTTAGTAGTCATGGGAATGGGCTTCATACTGCCCCACTTTCTCACCAAAAATTAATTTGAAAAAAAAAACCCCGCATAACTGGCATGGGAATTTTCATAAATGTTTTATTTAATTATTAGAGTATTCAGCACCCAATGATGTGACTCGGGTTCAAATTCCAGCAATGGCTGGTCGATACGAATTCCGTACTAGGATCACAGTAATCATGGTGCAGACATAAAATACCCTCAGTGATGAAGAGATTATGGGTTAGAGTCCCTTTGCTGTCAAGCTAACCATGGGACGTTTTCGTAGATTTCCACTCCATGTAACGCAAAGGCGGGTTAATTCCAACAAAATGTCCACCACGAAGACAAATTTTTCCCAATACCTGATCCAGGAGCTCTCTTGTCTTCTGTATTGGGTTCAAAATTGCAAGGTTACGAATTGCGGTAAATGTTTACAAAACTAAATGAATCTATAAAACCGAATTCTTGGCTTTTTCAGGAACTATTTTTAAGCGAGAAGTTAAAAAATACAGTATACGAATACGCAGGAACGAAAAACATTTCTTTCAGGAAGCAAAATTATTCTCCATTAAAAATTTTATAGAAAATAAGTACTGAAATTATTAGCACATATTTTAATTCAAAGATGATCCATTAAAAAATTTTTAAAAACATATTTTTATTGGTGCCGTTTAATGACTATCTGCAATCTATAGACGTTCGAAAACATAAACGAATAAATTAATTCAAGAACTTGACCCAAATCGCTAATGAAAGAGAAAAGCTGGAATCTTCGTGAATAAACTTCTACGTGAAATGAAATACAAAATAAGTTTCTAATCTATCTGCTTTCGTTAACTGGTATGATATGAAACCTGCAAAAAAAGACAGTCTTCTATTTTGATTTCAAAAAGATTGCCTTGCAATCATTTGTGACTCACAATTCATTTTATCATTTGAACAATTCAGTTGAAATTTATTAAACTTATTAAGTAAAAGTACTTCTGCATTAAACTTGGTATTTTTTACAACGAGCTTACTAGAAATTCTTCTTTTATAACCAGAATGTATATATTTGTTGGTTAAGTTTATTTAATAACCTGCTATAAACTAGATAAATTTTTCTATTTTTTGATGGATAGTCAGCTTATTTAATTTCGTTAAACGATTAATTATCTAAATAGAGTTAGTAATGCTAAGAAAGCTTAAAGCTTGATGCACGTTATTTTAAAGTGCTTATTTTATCAATTAAATCTTTAGCTATGACATGGAAACAACTTCCATTCAACAATTTTTTGTAAAAATTCCTATGCGAACGTGAACAGTGTACACCCCACGGATAATCTACTGTTGAAATTATGTGAATCAAATGAAATTTGAAGAAGTTATCTATTCTGTGAATCAATATCTTTCTTAAAATTTTCGAAAGTATTTATTAACCCACTGATGGCTCTGTATGTAAAAAATCGTATTTTAAACTGCACTCTACTTCGCATAGCATAACCGGTTTTTCCATGTTATTAGATAGGAAAATAGTGTATTGGGGAGAATTATTCTCCCGATTTTGCCATTTTTTCCTAAACCGCCAGTCAGGTCATGAAGCTTGCAAAATTCCTCCAACAGTTGATTTAAAAGTCAATAATATCACCCATTACCTAAACTTTTTGATACATTAAATTTTATCTTACTGTCTAATCATCGAAAAATTAAACTAAACTTTCCGAAATCGATACAAAAATTTGCCATATTGCTAATTATAATAAATAATTTTATAGAGCTATGTATAATAATTGAGCTTTAGTTATTTTAAATTCCTCAAAGCACATAATACATTTCTGTTAGAACTGAACTCATGTTTAAGAAGAAGTATGTATTTCATACGATAATATGGGTTTTAATTGAACACCGTCATAAGGTGGTAACAAAATTTCACGATATTAGTTTAACACCCACCATAATTTCTAAAAGCTATATGTATGCAAAGTAAGCAACACTAACTGTCTTGATTTATACTCCGTGTATGTTTCTCACCTTGTTAATTTGAGCTTCAGTATGCCTTGATCACAAGCCTAAGTGGGCAACAAAACTAATGAGCAACTTTATAATGTGAGAAAAAATTTCGTTTACTTTAATAGCAATTTAAGTTCAATCGTAATCCAGTCTCCGTTTAATAATTCTAATAACCTAGAATTTTTATTAACTTCACGCAAGCTGAGATCGGAAACGAATTATTGAGCAAGTTAGATAGGGGCGAGAAACTCGATTCTAATTCAATGCAATCTGAAATGCCCAAAAATAATAGTAATAATTAATTTTGCCAAACATAAGTTTTCGTGTTTAATAGTTACGGCAATTGTAACTCTTAAAGTAATATATTAGATAAATGTAGCTATATTTGATATGTTCAATACATTGGTAGTAACTGTTTCGATTTAATTATTTGAGAGAAATTTTTTTTTTTATTTTCCTTAATTTAAGCAAATAAAAAAGCAAACCTGTTTTGTAAAAGTTTCAGAAGAAATCGAAAGGATTGATTAATCGCATACAAATTGAATATTTTATGCCAACGTTCTAGATAACACAAAGAAGAGATTAGTATACGTATGTGATTCAAACTTATACCATCCATTACCTGTTCGAGATACAATTTACTTTAGACAATAACTTGTAAGTTTACTTAAGTTTAAGTTAAGTTTGAGCAAAATTCAAAAGACGTGTCACAAACTTGATAGAATTTTGAGGGATCTCAATTTGCAAATGCGTTAAGGGAGAGAAAATCACGATTCTTTACCATGGGTAACTCGTTGACTTTGTTGAATCCATTACCATGGGTAAAGGGTAACAAGAAAAATTCTAATGAATTACTTACACTAGTTAATTACTTCTCCTTCATTATATTAAATAACTACACTTTTAAGAATATATTATTATAATTTTACAGTCTTTCTTTAGAATATTTGTTCTCCATAGTTTTTTTTTTTAATAATTTTTTCTAGGTTCATAGAAATTTTTTTTTTCGCTTTTGAATTAATTCATAGAATCTGAGATATATGTTGTGCGTTTAAGTATCATAATTATTGCATGATTTTCACAGTAACCTTCCATTGATAATTCTAATGAAAGTAATTAATTAACTTGTTTTAAATATTTTTATCTATACTGTAAAATATTCCTGATAAAATTTATAAAAAAAGTGTTGGTACTCTCTGTGTTGGAGTGCAAAATCCGCGAAATCCATTTTACCGTAAAATAAAATTTTTATAGTAATATTTTTTAAATTATGGTTATTCAGTGATTTTACAAACATTTCTATATATAAAAATTACAGTATAACAGAGTCCCGGTGCTTCTTACAGTAATTTAATTTGGAATTTTTATACCGTAAAATATTTACAGCTTTTAAATAGTTTAATGCAATTATCGTCGGATTAAGAACAACAGAAACAAAATTACGTTAAAAAACTGCTAAATTCTTGGGGTTATTAACACTTTCGGTTTTAAGTTTATTTTATCTACAGAATTTGTAACTAAAATAATTTAAATACTAAAAAGTAATAAAATAAAAAAAAATACTCATGGAAGATTTCTTGTAAAAAAATCAGTTAGTCTTTGCGAATAATTCAAAAAAGAACTTACCATTTTTGGAAAATTTCTATGGAGTAGGAATAATATGAGAATTATTAGTTGGAATTAATCCTTTGCTTCCACTGCTTTCATTAAGTTCTGTTTGATCTTCATTCAATAGAAAACTAGTTCGAGGAATCACCGTTAATTCCGTTCAATAGAACAGTCTGTTCTCGTTTAGAACTATCGAAAAGTCCTGGAGGCTAACAACCGGTCTACCTGCTGCCACACAACGAAGTAAAGAGTTAAAAAGAAATTAATGAAAAGGGAAAAAAATTGTCTACAAAAGGAAAAATCAGGTCAATTTGTCGACGACGGAGAATTAAATGTCTATGGCAAATGTCAATGGTATGATATCCACTGTCCAGTTTGGCGATAGTTCTCAGGTTCACTAATCGTGTGCGCAGTTCGGGATCGTCTGCTCAATTTATTAAAATGATTTTTCGCTTCTTTCAAATAAACCCAGATCGTTTGAATCTAAAACCAAAAAGTGAAATAGAATTTTGCGGGTTAGAAGGTAAGCGAATGACAAGTGAGACGGCAAGTAGAAATTCTCACGTGATTTGCACGGCCAATGAAATTTCTAGAAAGTAGGTGACCAGCCAAGCGGTTAAAATTTGACGTCCGCTTGTATTTTTCAAGTTTTTTAAACATACTTCTAGGTTAGTAGTGATTCCGTTTTCGGCGTTAGAAAAAACCAGCTCTGGGTATTAAAGAGTTAGAGTAACTCTATTTTCACTTAATCGCATTTGCATGACTTTGCCTACTTAATGAACTAATTTTTTTTTAATATTCTTTTCGTAGAATTAAAACTGTTTCTTTTTTTTATTTGATTATGAGTTTTCGCTCTGTACGTTTTCTGCTTTATATTTTCTAAACTTCGAAAATTTTACTTCTGATTTGCTTTCAATTGCATTTTTACTAAATTTTGACTATTTTTTGTAATATTAAGCGGCTTTATTACTCGAATACGCTATTTCAAAAACATTTATAACTTTCAGTGAGAGGCTTGTGGACAGATTCAAAATTGTCAAACAATGACAAATAATTCTGTTTTAATCGAAGCAATGAGAAAAATAGATGATGTTTTGCAAAATGTTTTTATTTTTCATATTCAAGAGTTCTTCTGTGAATTATTTTAAAATCCGTATAATGTATTTACACGACAAATTGACTTGACAATATTTTCATAATAATGCTTGTTATAATGCTAAATATTTTACAGTATGTTAGTTTTTTTTAAGCCGCTTAAGTTTGAAATAGCTAGTTTCAAAGATAATTTTTTCCAATCGAAACAATCAAAGTAAAAATGAGGGTATTGGATTTTGATCAATAAAAGGGACTTTATTTAGAATAGATTTTATAGTTTTTTGAAGTTATATGTTATTGTAATACTATAGCAAGAGAATTACAATATTACATGTATTAAGACTAGATTTTTCAAAAAGAAATTAAAGTGATTTCAATAAAATATTTCTTTCTTTTTTTGTAGAATCTTTTATAGTTTTTAATTTTACTAATAAAATTAGTTGTGTTCAAATTTTTCCTTCATTGTTCGCAAAAATCAAAGAAATCTTGCGAGATGAGGAAAAAACTGTTTTAAGCTTGATTTTATTTGATATTTTTCAGCACGTTTTATAGAAAAATCGAAAATCCCATTTATTTTATAATTGGTACATATACGGAAGAAAATATTCTGGTCAAACTACTGTACTGTATTGGCATTTTTGGTAAAAAAAAAAGACATTATTCCGATATTAAAAACCAAAATATACGGTATTAACGTTACAGTGCTTATTACAAGGCATTTAGTGAAAAACAAAAAAGTTGTCATTGGCCATTTAGGCAAGAAGGCAAAGGGTGCGATTGTTCTTGTTTCACAGTGCCGCCATCTATAGCCAAGTATTCGACTTGTGCCGCACCCATACGTCACACCTGTTTAAAGGGCTCACCTATTCATTCATTCATCCACAAATCGTAATTTTGACCTGAACCAGAGAACGATCAATCTCCAATTCAGTATTTTATAGGATTTTTTTAAATCATGTAAATTAACTAATGCAATTCATTATCGTTATACTGAAATATAAATAATGACACAACAAATATCCATAAATTCAAATTGTTAATCTGTTAATTAAACAGATAAAAGAAAAAAAAATAACATTAAGCAATTTTGCCCTCAATGCTAGAATAACAAACCATAATCTTTAAATATATCTATGATAAATTAACTAAACATCTACAATAAGAATTGACAATAAGAACCACGTAAGACGCGTGAGTATTTGCTTACCATGCTTAATACATACTTAAAATATTATATTCAATATATGCACTTAGCAGTATAAAATAAATATAGTATATATACATAGTATAATGTATATAGTATGACATATAGAATATATAGTATAAGTCGAAAAAAAAAGAAACAACGTGAATATAAGAAATAGTACATCTCAATCATACAGATAGTACAAATTTATTCATGTTAAAACTATTCATGTTAACTTAATTAATTCCAGTACTTTTATTTTGAAAACATAAATGTAACATGATTTTAAAATAAATTAAAAAAAAGCAACACCAAGCGTTATTGCTTATAATAATATTTGGTGTTACGCACAAGGAGTGATCCATAATTTTTTAATAACTTGTTTGGTTGGTGAACGAATTGCATAAAATAAGAGCTATGAGTGTAAGAGTTATTTACGAATTTTATGCAATAATCACTAATTAAGTTTTGCCTATAAATACTTGTGGTTTTCATATTATGTTAATGCTTTTATGTGTCAGGTTTTGAAAGCAAAGGTACCACAAATTTGCATTTCGTTAAATAATATAAATACAGTGCGTAAGCAATCAAGCGAACAAACCCTGAACGAAGTCAATGATAAGATTTCCTTGAATTCCAGTATATTTCAATTGAAGTTAAATCCCCTGAGGTGACAGTTTCTTAACGCAAGGACATACAATTTACGGAAATGATGTTTAAATTACTCCAGCAATGGCAGTGATATTTAATTGAAGGTTTAAACTTATATAGCTTACGTTTTATAAAATCATTCTTTGTTAAAATATATTTTTAAAAAATTCGATTTAAAAAATTATTTATTATATTAATAATTTTTTAATTAAAATATTACAATTATTATAATTAATTTTTAATTAAAATATTTTTTAATTAAATATTTTTTAATTAAAATATATTTATTAAATTATTTTTTAAAAATTTCGATTTTATGCATTGTTAAGGAAGAAAATACGTATGACTTAGGACATAATTATTTATGCATATTTTTTTAAATATAATTTAGAAAGTTTCAAAGCTTTGGAATTGTTTAAATTCGATACAATTCCTTGCTATCTCTAAGAATTACAGGTTCAATGTTGAATCGTAATCTTGTTATATTTATCTAGAATACTGTAAAAAATTCGCTATAAACTTGCGTTACATTGAATCGTGCTTTATTCAAGCTTGATAAAGAATCAAGTGTTCAAAATTAAGAAACACATTGATATGGTTCCATCATGATAGGTGCTGCAACCATATGAAGGTTGCAGCACATTTGCACGATATTGTGCTTTTGTTGTTGCATGTTCTCGGAGCTCTAACAAGTAACAATTTACTTGTGAGTGAAGTTTTCGGTTTTAGAAGTTTTATTTGATTCCATCGTTGTTTCTTTATCAATAAAAACTGGAAAATATTTGCTACAAACTTAGCAAGGTGTTTCCATTTAAGTTGAACCACAGTATTATGTTCGAAATCACGAAATCCAATGGTTAAATTATTGTTACAACAAATTTGAACGTTCAGCAAGCTCCTAACAGTTTCAGTACATAAATGTAAATCCAGCAAAAAAGAGTGAATGTTGTTAACTATGGCAATATGTTTTCTTTATTTTGACATTATTTGATGTCTTTTTTCATGTAATAAATTGTACTAATAAAGCTGAAATAGCTACTGGGATTTTTTTTTCACTTGTGTTCTTATGCGTAATTACTTTTTCGAAAAATAATTTAATGAATTAGCATAATTGTTTTATATTTCAATATAATAGCATCAGATTTGAATAACTAGTTATAACTATATTAATCTTTGGAAATTCAAACAGAATATTTAAATTTGAATAAATGTTTTGAATATTTAAAAAAGTGTTATTTAAGAGTTAAGTTAATCTATTTGTTTCATTTAAATTTTTATCTATATAAGACAGAGCTGTTGACAGAGAAAACATGTAAAATAGTTTTAAAAAACAGCTAAAAATTTTTTTGAAAAAAATATAATTGTAATATTTAACATGTGATTTTTAATATCAATGATTAAAATTAGAAACTATTTTCTATTCCTCTCTGTCTAGTCATGGTAGCTTAGGAGATAGAGCGTTCACTTTTCAATGAGGTGAACCGGGTTCGTATCCCAGCGGTGGCTTGTCGATACGAATTCCGCACCCGGCTTGCACCGACCACAGTACTGACGTAAAATATCCTCAGTGGTAGACGGATCATAAATTAGAGGCTAACCGCGGTAAGATTTCGCTGTTTTCTCTTCCATGTAACGCCAATGCGGGTTAGTGACATCAAAAAATTCACCACGAAGGCAAATTTCCTCCTATACCTAATCCAGGAGTTTCCTTGTCTTCTGGATTAGGTTCAAAATTACAAGGCTACATATTTGAACATCAGTATTAGTAAGCCCAAAAATTGGGTCAGCTTTTCAATGATGGTTACAATATCTTTCTCTGTCTGAGAAATTGGTTAAATATTGAGTAGTTATAACGGTAGGTTAAACCCTAATATGATAAATATATTCTGCAGTTAATTTTGCATTGAAGTTTATTTTCATTCACGTTTCAAGAAATTAAAGAAGTACAGTGCTATTTTTCAAAACGCTCCAAAATATTTACCGGTTTAGCTAAATATAATTTAACAGTTATTTAATACCAACCTTTTAAATTCTGAAATTTGTTAAAGTAAAATTACGCTTTGAAAAAAAATTATTTTTTAAGGTACCAGAAAAATATTGTTTTAAAATAAGAAAGAGTCTTTGCGGGCGATGAGCTTTTCTTAAAAAAAAAAGAAAGAATTTAAGAAGGAAAAAGAAAGTGAAAAGAAAGAGGAAATAATGTGCATTTCCTAGACGACGTATCTAATTTTTGTTAAAGAAAATCGATATCTCAATTACTTTTTACGCTACACTTTCCACTATATTTTTGCCCCCCAGCTATATTACAAATTCTCAAAATCTCGTGAGATAGTAGTTGCCGGCCTCAACGCATGGCGTTCTTTTAGAAGAAAAGAAAACTGATTGGTTTTGTAGAATTTTTTTTAAATTTGAAATTCATTTTATTTGAGAAAGGAAAAGTATAATTTAGTATTCGAATAGATTGCAATGAATTTTTAAATTGTGATTTTTAAATATTTTGACTTATAACTGAATAATTTTTAAAATAATATTTATGTCCAGATTTTTAAATTATAAAGTTGGATTTTCAGGACAAAATCAAACATTATTCTATTCTGATTGTTCTAAAATTTCCTG